TAAATGCAAGTTTATCTTGAATGACACCACAGAAAGGATGTGCCGTTGTATTCTGCAAAGTCATAGAAGGAAGAAAAAGGTTTCTAAACTAAACAACAAAATAAGGATCAGGTCAGGCAAATGTTTTAGCAGGTGCTTCAAGTACCCAGAACCAAAAATGTGTTAAAACAACAAAACCCTCCAAAACCTCCACCTCCTCTTATTAAAATTACCTACAATAGATGAATCAAGTAATTGGAAAAATTTTAAATGGGCCTTTTGTTTGTAATGTCTAAAGGTAGGCTCCTATGCTCAGATATTAGTTCCTATAGAAATATGTTTTTTAAAGCATCGACCTGAATTAGGAGTAGAAGTTCTGTCAACTTCAAACCCTTATGCGGACTAAGACCAGACTGAAATGTTTCAGACTTCCTGACTCATGAAGGTTCGGTACGTCTGTTATCATCACAGCACTTGGTAATACCACAATAAATATAGAAAAATCTGCTTATTAAATTTGCATACTGAATGTTTCCATCTCACATCGCATATATGCCTTGGAAGTGTCTTTTTCAGAACAGACGAACTGCTGAAATTTAGGAGTTCTTACAGGTAAAACCTTTATATGAGCAGGAAAGGAACAATGCCATAGAGATGCAGCGCGAGACGGAAATTTGAAAATTCTCATTCAAGTCTCTGCTGTAAGAAAGATTCTTCACGCAACCTCATGCTACTCTTGAGATTCTCTGTGCCTCGGTACTTTGCACCACATTCTTCTCAAAGATTTGTGACAAATATTCAGGATTGCCCCTTGGCACTCTGACACTGAGCCGTGTCAGAATTCCAACTAGTAGAAACAAATTTCTGAGTGATAAGAAGCTTAAAAACAAGTACAAAACCCCTAATAGCAAATAAAGACTGTAGAAACTAGTAACATTTAATTAAAAAAACCTAACAGTACATAACAGCAAAACTTGTGTTTCACACAAAAGATATCTGTTGAGTTAAAAAATACTGTCACTTGATTGGAGATTATAAAAAAAATAGTATTTCACAGATTTTCTGCCAACCGATTTGGAAAATGACAATATAATCACAACCTAAACTTCCAGTAAACTTAAAAAAAACAAAACAAAACAAAAACACAAAACCAAGAGTTATAGATGAAGTTGTGCATATAGAAATCCTTTCCACGGTATTAAAAAAAATGCCACTGAATTGCATCCTGCAAATTCAACCTTCTAGCAGCTTAATTTGAAAGTGAGACAGATAACCCTAATTAAAAAAAAAAAAGAATTTATAGTCTGAGATGGAACTTCAAATTTAGTTCATTTAATCATATCACAACATGCAATTTTTATGAAGATGTAATATGATTTCTGTATTCTCCTTGGTGTGGCATTCATCTGTGTTACGGTCTTGATACCAATTTCTAAAGCACCAGGCACACTCGGATACAAATATAGCCAGGAAAGGATTAGTTTCATACGTACAGTGATGAAAGTGATCCAACTGGAAAGTTTGCTGCCTAACAACTCATAGCACAGATTGTGATGAAAAGGACTACTGTGCCTCACGTTAACTGTATGACAAAGGATGTTAGATGGACTGCTGAGCAAACAAGGTAGTGCATTTCAAAATTATTTCTTCCACAGTTGGCACAGTGAACAAGATTCACGCCCATGCAATCTCACTGAAGACAACAGACTCAAATGTTATGAATATTTAAAACATCTAATCACATACAAACCTAGATCAACATTAAATTAAGTTAGAAAAAAAAAAGTAATTTAAATTAAAAAAAAAATCAATAAATTAACACAGACAAAAATAGAAATATTTGACACTAAAACTAAGCTACTGAGGCAACATTTAAAAGTGTCTGTAAAAACACTGGATGAAACTTGAACGCATTGATTGGCTGCAACTCCTCTCCATCCTCATCTCCTGGAGTCTTCCAGATTCTGATTTTCACCTCTCACGGAAGTCATCTGAGCTGATGAGGACTTTCAGATGAGTAAGGCAACTGAACACAAGCCTGGCTGTTAGGAATGTTATAGCTGAACCTTAGCTGCAAAGCAACAGCTGCAAGCATGCATCTGCATCCGCAACAACCACTACACTTTAAGTACAATTCTAGGCTTATAGCTGAAGTAGCAACTGCTTCACCTCGAGTTAAATCTTTATGCCATGATTTAGATCCCTTACCACTTTTTAAAATTTTCCATATTCTCAAAAACTAGCATACAATGCTCCTATTTAAACCCTCTATTCATGCCATGAAAAAAAAGCAACAATCTTTGCTCTCCAGCTTCCACTTAAACCTGAAACTACCATTTTTAGGGTTTTAGGCCCTAGCAGATTCTTTTCTATTAAATTTAATCAAATGCTATTTTAGTGATAGATTGCATCAATTCAAAGACTTGGTAAGGTGAAGAGTCAGAGAAAAGCTACTGGGAGTTTACCTGAGAGGCTGTTCCAAAATACCCCCCCCACATGCTTTGATATTAGTGACTAAAGCCCTTAAATTGTTCCCCAAAGCCCACCTTTGCCATAATACCTACAAAACACTGGAGAACAATTAGCCAGCTGATGTGCTGTGAGCTTATTATACCATTTATAAATGACTCACACCCTTACGCTTCGGCTCCCCCCACGGCTGTCTGTGTCTCTAACCAAAATTCAGACTGCAAGAGCTCTGCAGAACACATCACCTCTATCGTGTCTGTGCAAGGATCACAGCGTAAGCCCTGGCTCTAGACACTGCCTTATTACAAAAGATAACAAGAAGTGTCGTCGTGAAGGCATCAGGGTTTAAACAACCTTTGTTCTTAAAATTTCAGATGAACTAAGGAGGAAGTTTATCTTGAGAGGTTTGGACTATTGACGAAATACGTTGAAAGCAGACCAAGATATGACTTAAACGTGCTTTGTAACAGGGCTCTCAAACCAAAACTAGGCAGCAATAGTAGAGGGTTCTGCCCCATCCTCCCCAGGAACAGGTACACACACATATCCATAAGAGGAACTCAAGCCTATCAGCAATGAGTGCTGACAAGCACGAGCCATGCCAGGAGTGCTTCACCCCACTGATCCCTCTTTTCTTCACTGTTTCCTCACTGGCAGCCTCACAAGACTGCACTGGAGTAAATGTGGATGGGCAGCAAGCAGGACGGTCTGTAGCAAGTGCTGCATGTGCAAACACAGGACAGAGACACAAAGCATTATCCTCCAGGGCAAAGCACAGAAGACGAGAGGCCAGGGCTCACAGCAGACCGGAGAGGAGGGCATGTGTATGCGTGTGGGAGGGACAGGGTAGAGTACTAAAAAGAGGATGATCTTGATATATAACAACAGTAGACCTGAAACCATTTATCAAAAATACGGAGTCTTCCCTTTGGCCAAGAGAATTACCCCAACTCTAAAAAAATCAAATTACTTTTCCCTAATATTTTTTCCTTCCCACTATGACTAACAAAGAGTGCACAGCAACTGTAACACACGAGCTCACAGAATTCCCCAGGCTCACAGCAGTCCAATGCACCGACTGGAAGCACAACGAAGGAAGCGAACTGCGGACAGTCATAACCTGCTCTCAGACCAGAGGTGTGGCAGGGGGATATCCCTGTACCAGGGGTAGGGTGAGATAAGACGATGCAGACCGTAATCCATTATTACAGGAATACACGGTTCAATTTCATTTTCCAATATGGCATCAGTAAAAAGACAAGGATATTCGTTAGGAAAACTAATCCATTTGAGGGCCATCCTGCCTTCTTAACAGCATTACAGTACTCAAAAATATTTAATCTAAGCTAGCTTGAAAAAGCTGTGGTCAATGAGATTTTGTTTCTCAGATACTGACTTTTTTTGACCAGTTAGATACGCGTTTGCCAACAGGATTTAGCTCCTGCTATATTCGAACCGTCTTTAATCCCATGAAGGCTAAAGAAAAATGTCTCTGATTTAGCTCTGTGCACTTATGAATAACTCAAATACTACAGTTAAATTTACAACATAGTTCCCTTAGCTGTTTAGAAGACAATTGTTTTCTTTCCTTTCCCCTTAAGTTCTAGTATGTAAAATATCAGAAGAATTTAGATTAAAAAAAAAAAAAAAAAGAGGACATGTTATTTTTAAAGTTGTTCTTGAGAAAATTTCCACATACAAAACCGTGGCATTTCTCCACTGGTTTGAGAATAATTTTCACACGTTGGCATCATCCTTGAGTGGCTGCCACAACTCTGGTATCATAAAGCGACATGTATTTTCTCTTAGCTTATCCAAACACATTTTATTTAACTGCTAAATTTGGTCTGATCCAAGTTTTTCTTCTTCCTTCACAACAAACAGGAAAAGGCAGATGCCGTACTCTGATCGCATACACGCATCCTACCAGAAAAACGGGGCACGGAAGCCAGATCAGTCCTCCTAAGCGTACGACTGTTCAGATCACATCGCTGCACTCATGGCTCAATAAGACTTTAAGTTCACACTAAAATGTTCACATTGTTCACTACTGTTCTAGAAGTCCTGTCTAGGTAGCACTGAAAAACAAATTGTTTGGCCCCTTCCGTTATGATGCTGGAACACTGTGTCAATATACTTTGGCATATATTAAAAAAATCCCTGTAATATACCATATACTGTGACATTTCCACTTCAGATCTATCATTTACATGTGAAGCACGAATCTCGAAAGAACCTAGTAAAGCTGTAAGAAAGACTACATTTTGCCGAAGCTCTCAGACACCCACTCCATTCAGTCACACCAGCTGGAGAGGTAAGTGTCAAGATACAGCTTTATTCTTAAAAATTAATATGGAGGTGAAACTCCACAGCCTCCTCCACAGCAATAATTTTTTAAAGTGAAATCACAATGATATGTGCTCCTGATTCTTCTATGTCAGCAGCATTTCTCAGAAACCTTTTTGCAAATCTGGACATCTTAAAATCCTATTTAACTTATTTTGCAATTTACGGAATCGTCCCTGCACTTCCCAGTCCAGCTGATAGGCGTCTTAGACATGACATCCATTGGAAGATCTTTTGCTCCTAGAGGTAGAGGAGTCCTTAGCTACCCTCTGTCTAGCACAAGAGGCACAAATAGCCCCCGAGAGACGCTTAAGCCCCTTCTGAAAGACACTGTTGGAGAGACTGTAAATGACACAGTTGCAGAAACTGTTGCTAATTGCAAGCCAAGTGGTCAAGAAGGATGCAATGCGGTTACTATAGACATTGGAGCTCTCCAGCAGAAAATAGATTATGTAGGGCAACCAGAGGATGTAGAAGACACTGGTGATGCGGAAAAGAACCATGGCATAGCGCTTGTCCGGGCAGGGCTGTGCCTCCCCAGCCTCCCCGTCCTGAGAGCTGAAGCGCACTCGCCTCTCGTTGATCTCCTTGGTGTGCTGCTGGCAGATGCGGAAGATGTTGAAGTAAGTGAAGCAGACGATGAAAGCAGCCGGGGCATAGAGCATCACCACAATGAAGAGGGTAAAATAGGGATCGGTGTTCCAGGAATTGGCACACCACTGAAACACATCCCCGTGATATCCAGGCTTTCCCCAGCGAAAGGACGGCAAGAAGACGAGGCAGGAGTACAGCCAAATAATCAGTATGCAGATTCGAAGTCTCCATGGGGTAACCAGCGTGTTGTAGGTCAGCGGCTTTGTGATGGCAATGTATCTGTCAATACTAATGCACGCCAAAGAGGCCATGGAGACGCCCTTCAGCACTGATACCACATAACCAAAGATTTGGCAAACCAAGGACTCACTTAAAACAATAGGATAGTGCAGCAGAGACAAAGAAGGCACCAGACAGCTCACGCCCACCAGGAGGTCAAGCATACGCCTAGTCTGGATGAAGTAGCTGGTGGTGTGGTGGTTGAGCAGAGGTGCACAGTGAAAGACAAATATCACAATAATGTTGCCTGAAATAATCAGCACCATGAGGAACACAATAATAACCACTTCCAGGAGGCAAAAATTGATGGTCTCCAAATAGCTAATGGCCAGGAGACAGAACGGCCGGCCACTCTGGTTGCCAACCAAAGAGGAGTTCATCTTGAGCACTGCAGTGATCTCTTTACTTCATGCTCCTGCCTGCTGCCTGCAGCCACTCCAAGCAGCTGCTGTCATTGCGGCTGGTGCTGTGTGTGTAGCAATGTCAAAACCGGAGCTCCAGTCCCCAGGGCTGCTCCAGATGCTGCTGCTGTGCATTGTCTGCAGCACAATTCCCCTTTAAATCCGGCTCCCCGCCGCTACTGGTGCACCGGGACCCAACAGCAGTCATGTCAGCAACTTCACACACACACACGGGAGAGGGCTGATTTTAAAGCCCTCCCGGGTGGGCTGCCTCGCCGAGGAGGGATGAGGGGTTGGGGGAAAAGGGAGATGGAACCTTCACCGAGTCAGGACGAGAGTCCTCCCAAAGGCTGACAGAAGAGAAGGGAAAGTGTTTTACAGAACCGCCTCTCCCCCCGCGCTACCACCTCCATCGCCACCCCTCTTTCCCCACGCCCTGCTACGGCGCTTCCCTGCCGCCGTCTGCCCCCGCTCCCTGCCAGGCTCCCGCTGCGCCTCCTTCCCCCCGTCCCTTCCCCACGCCCTCGGCCCGGGGCTCCGGGCTCCGGCCGGAGGGCAGCGCGGGGAGGCTCTCCGTGCGAAGCAGCCTCCCCCA